CCTCGCAATTAACTCGTTGGTGCAGAATCCTTATTTACGAACAGCTTCCTTGCCTTTTATGGAACCAGACCTTTCAGCCCATAATCTCACACTCTTTTGCTTATTTCAGGTCAACGTAAACTGAAATTATCGTACCACCCACCGTCTACGTTCCTCAAATAGTCTCTACCATCTTTTCCGACGAAACAATTTTACACATTTCTCATGTATCCACTACACGAGCAAACTAAATATAATTCGATATGTCTCAAACTCATTAACACGACGAAGTTAAAAAATAATCTGATAATGTTCCAAAAACCAACCCCGGTAGGCAATAATTCTGAAACTTGTAAATAAAACAACATAAAAACATGAAGATGTTGCGCCTTGTAGCCTGCAAGAAGTTGGCCGACGTTTCAGAGAAGCTTACTGTCTCCACTGTCAGGGCGATAACTACCAGACTACAAGGGACATCTCAGACGACAGTCACCTTCGTATTCGTCGCCATGAGGACCTAAAATAAACAGGGGAACAAGGCCTAAACTTCAAAGTCTTCGCATCTTTGCTCTAGACAAACACGTCGGAATTTATAATCCTACACTAAAAAACAATATTTGTAAAATCTAATACCTGGGGCTAACATTTACACGGTACTACAAGCCATGAATTGGGCTCAAGTTCCTCTAAGCGTACGTGGGGGGGCAAGGGGGTGCAGACATGTTTCAGTTCTGTTAGCACTGATTCAATATTAATGCACCTAAATTAAATGTCCACAGACTTCAGTCTGTGAGATTTCGTACTAGAATTGCATCCTAATGCACACACATAGCAATGCCAACCTTTTCAATTACACATCTTACAAGCAAAACCCTGAACCAACTTCAATTAGTTTCAATTTACTGGATATGATATGTCCTGGTATTCCTTGGAACTCGACGATTCAGACATTGGTCCTGATTTCGTGCCCATGCATTGGTGGACTGGGCCACTGGGTCCAATCCTGACACACGTGAAACTAGTCTACATACTCACATTGTCTTTAAGGTCCATTTAATTATTATCCTCCCATCTACGCCTAGATCTCCCAAGTGCCTTTTCCAATCTCCCCTGTGCGAGCTTATACATAAATTAGTAAACAACTATTTTCTTTTGTCCTTATGTAAAATGTGCCGAGTAAAGAGTGTTGCTCAGATAGTTCAAATGTCTGAACAGGTATTTGGAATAATTACGACAAGAGTTCAAACACGGTAATACTTCCAGACGGACATAACTCCTCCACAACTTCATTTCTGAATGATACAAAAACAACAACAAAAACGTTCACCCACACAAAATCATGTTAAGCACGACGTACATACAGAACAACTTCGAATACGATATTAAAAAATACAATAAAATCTGGAAGAAAACATCATTTGAAATCTGAAATCTGATAAACATCTGACTAAAAAGTTGCATTTAAGAAATTATATTTAAGTTTATATAATTTTATACACCTGAAGATGGTTCTTTTAGAACTGAAACATGTCGTGTAAAAAGTGATGATCTAATGTAAATCGAACATTTCGATAGAGAATATCATTTAATATATTTTAAATATTTAAATGTTAATTATGGTAATATTTTAATATTTAATAGGAATTTTATTGTGATTCGACTGACAAGATTTAAACAAATTACGACAAGTAAATTACGCCATTTACACGAGACAGATTCGTGTGTATTTAATAACAAAACTCGCATGCAACAGAAATTCTGACGTGTTCTACGCCTGCCAAACAGCGCGTGTCTATAAATGAATATATCACAATTAATTCCCAAGCATATCCACAGATGAATGAACAATGACAACATAACGGACAGAATTCTCACAGAAACACATTCGTCCTCAAAAGATGTTTAACTGCGTGGAACAGCGACTATGAACGGCATCGAAAATGGATAATACTATGTATTTCATTCCTCACTTATGAACCCTCTGAGGCCGAAGCTCCTCTGAATAATATTTACAAACTCCGTCCGTACCGCAAAGAAAACACATTTAACCACTACTAAAATAAATAATTTTTGAAGCTCTCACTTATTACGGGGCGATAACGCACATCTTCCAGTCAATATCGATCCCATATCGCAATGATTCACTATCGATTAGCTCGAAATCAGAAATCACACAACACGAACAGATCGCTTATATGCACAAACGTGCCAGCGAGGCTTTCAATAACATCTTTGCGGAATATCATGGCACGAAATTACAGCAGTCTCCCTCAAACATCAATACGTCAACATTATAGGACGTTACAGAGCTTACATATTAGACTTTACATTGAGTCAAATTCACAATACTCATGAGTATCCATATTATAACACTTCCTGAAAAACAGTTACGACTACTCTCATGACGTCACAAATGTACCGTCATCCTTCAACATTTGATGGATGCCTTCAATCGCTTACGAATCTTTTACTTTCAGTTCATGTCTTCCATTTTGAAACGCGTAGGAGCCGATTTCTGTGCATGTTTTTTTTGTTTATAAACGCCGTTACTATGACTACCACGGGCGCGTAACAAAGGCACTCGACTGCCCCGGCCTTCTTCAGCTGTCGAGGCCTTGGACTAAATCAGCTAAGAATTATTCCCCGGTGGTTTGCTCCAAAGCTTTTAAGTAAAAAAAATTCTTCCAGAATATTAAGCAGTTGTCCAAGGGCATCTGAAAATTTGCAAACAATAGAAGCAGTAGTCTGTAAAAGAACTGCGTATGGTTATTAATGGGAAAGGGGGGGGGGGAGTCCACTCTGCCCTCGGCTTCACCAAGTCTTTTACGTATCGAGATTGCTGAGTTGAGTTACGAAAGTAACATTCAGGAAGAGAATACTTCCACAAAATTCATGATCGTGAAAAAACTTGATTCCGGCAATAAAAAATTATCTTAACACATCGTTTTCAGATTAAATGTTTGTCGTATGTACAAAGTACTTTCTTGAACACTAAAAGAACAAATGGAATATGTCGATAAATTTTAGTGAAAATCCCCAATATCGAATTTAATGAAAATACGTTCGGCCGTTCTCGAGTCACATGCGTCGAGACGGACGGACAGAAATCAGAGCTAAGTTAAACGGTCACATTCGTAACTTTTAGCTGTAAACGCGCCTAAAACGTTTACAGCCATCATTCTCCCAAGGAACCGTCTTCAAATC